TGCCACATCCCCACTCCCTCCCTAATCTCCCCTACTCCAGGCACCCCTGTTTCCCTTCTCTAAGGTCTGCTCCTGTTTGGCCCCATCTCCACTTGGCTAACTCCCCCTGTGGCCCCTCTATTGAACTGTTGTGTTGTCCATTTCCCTGTGACAAGGGCTCTGGTTACAGAGTTATTGATTGGTTTTCATGCAGACAGATGGGCCCTTCCTGGGCTCCCATCGAAATCCCTGGCTGTATGGGCTGATTGTTGCCTCTCAGGGTGTAGGATTGCACTGGAGACCACCCTCCATGCAGCCTCCTTTGCCCAGGCCATGAACGGTAATAAATGGAGGCAGCCTGAGCGATAATAAAAGCAATTGAGTAGGTTACCTGTGCAGACACAAGATTTATGCCGCTTCATATTTGATGTGATTGTTTTATTGAGTTCTCAGAACAGTTGGGACACTATTTATTTATTTATTTTGGGTTTTCCCTCTCCTCTCTTTTCTTCTTTGCATCACCTTGTGAAATGCACCTGGAGCTGTTGTCAGGCCCAACACCTCCTGTCTGCCTCTTCTCAAGAGCCGCCAGCTGAGGTAGGAAGGCAGGGCGACCAGCCATTGCTATCACCAGAAACCCCTTTTGTAGCTTGAACACCCACAGAACCAGCCAACGGGGAGACAGTCAGACCAACAGGACTGAGGGCCAGGAAGCCCAGGCTAAAACAACTACAAAAACAAAAAGAGGCTTTTCAGGAGGACAACTCTAGCTCATTTTAGGGAATGAGAATTTCAACCATCACGCCTGTTTCAAATGTTATTCTGATGATGGGCAACCTCACAGTAGGGGACTGTCTCCGGGAAAAGACAGGTAAGCAAGGCTTCTCCGATAGAAACTGGTGCATTGGTCTGCTATTTGTGGGCCCAATCTGCTAGGTTCAGGCCACAGAAGGCGAGTTCCCTGTCCTTGTTTCTCCCATTCTTGTGTGGATAGAAGTCTTTTTCTTAACTCTCCAACTTGTCCTGTCTGTTTGCCACGAGACCAACAGCCCTAACCACCAAACAGCTGCAAAGGTATGGAGATGCGGCGGGCAGTACCACCCTCTGGCCCAGCTTCATGCCAAGCCAGGTCCAAGAGTTGAATAGGCAATGTTCTGGAACCTGAGTTTCAGAGAGGGAGAAACAGACTCTAGCCCTGAACATATCTTCAACATTCCCTGGGCTAGGATGAATGGCTCCCAGATTATTTGGAAAGGTCTCTGAAGGAACAATTGGTAGACCATTGTCACCCCACTGCCTGACCCAAGGGGAACAATGACCTGAGAATGACAGAAGAGGGACACCCAAATGACACAGGATGGAATTCCTTAACACAGCCCTAGGTTGCCATTGTTAGAATGAATGTGCTCACCTAGAGCCTAACAGGCTAAGAGAGAGTGTGGATAGTGGGAGATCCGTGAGAAGCTGATTCTGGCAGGGTCCACTCCAAAGATCTAGGGGCACAGGGTGTCCTGACTCCAAAGAGTGTTAGGCAAGCTAAAAAAGTTAGAAGGTGACACCCTTATTGTCGGCTTTTCCCAAAAGAGCACCCTCAGGGGATCGTCAGTAACCCTAGACTCTGTTTGGGGTCTGTGCCTGTTCTTTCAAAGGAGCTGTATTCTCTGCCCAGAGTAACAGCCAAACCAGAAGACTTTGGCATATAATCAGGAAAATCCCTCCTGCTTAGACAACTGCTCAGCGATGTAACTAGGTGACTTTTTCCTTTTTCAGTAGCATGAATCTCCCTCCACCTCTCCCCTCTCCAGGCCATTTCCCACACCAGGTTTCAATCTAAAGTCCCCTGTTTATAAACACCCGCCCTTTACAGCAGCGGTGTACAAACCAAAGAGCTGGCAACTCCATGTTCAGCCATCAGTAACCCAATATTTAGAAAGATTCAGATAAATTCCACGTGCTAAGGAGCCCAGTCAAGTCTTGGGATTTTTGACGGTGGTCTGTGGGAGTGGGGAGGCATTCCTGACCCAGTCCTCTGGTTCAGAGAGGCATTTCTGAGGATTTGCTAGGGGAAAATACAGGCTAGATGGCCACGCCTTTATCGCAACAGGATCAGAGAATGCCAAAACCATTTTTAAAGAGTGAAAAAGCAATTTAGTTTATAACCATAACAGCATATTTCAAGTGCGGCGACAGCATCTGTTTTGGGGAGGAGAAGTTGAAAAACCTTTGGCTCAGGTGGGTGAGCATGTGTGGACTTCTTTTCTTGCCAATCACCAGCTCATGCACAACCTTACTCATAACTGTTATAAAGCACCCAACACAAGTGGGCAGGTCACAACCAACAAAGCTCTAAACTCAAGAACCACCCATTCCCCGGTGCACCATACTTTCTGCACACAGGAAAATCTCCAAGCTCTTCCTACAGTGAGTGAGAATTCTCAAAACTGATAAAAGGCAAAGTTTCTGATATAACCAGCAGAAACATCCTGTTTTTATCAGGTTTTTGGGTGAAACAACACATCTCAGATAAACCTTCCCTCTTCAGAGCAAAGCACCTACAGGGATGAAGATGACAGCATGGTTCCCGAGGTGGATTTCTCCAGCCCCAACTCAGCAGCACACTGGGAAATCCCCAGAATTCTTTCCAAAATATGAACCATGAGAGGATTCGGGTCTAGAGCAAAATTGAGAATAGTTTGCCTGCTCCTTATAGACAAAGCCAGCCGTGAAGCCTAACTGCGGACCCAGGGTGGGCTGCCCATGTGGTTAGTGGCTTACCTGTTCCTCTCCTCCTACTCCCTCTCCATCTCCAGCAACACCTGCCCACAGATGGCTATTTCTCCACACCCAAAGGAAGCCTGTGTGCCCCTCAGGTGACAGGGCTCTGTGCTGGGTGGGTTCTACAGCTGTCACAGCTGTCAAGCTGAGGCTACTCTTTCCCTACCCTCATCTCACTGGTGGCTCACTTGTCTACTTTGTCCTAATTCTGGTGGGTGCACCTCAAGACCTCTGGAGCTTGATCCTGGGGTCACCTGGCCCTTGCTCTCCATGGCTTTTCAGGATGGAAGCATTTCCAAACTTATGCCTAAGCCAGCTTCCAAAATCATCTCAGCCAATGAGGAGTGCATGTTGTCGGGGGCAGTGGCAGGGGGTGTTGGACAGGGTCACCACACCTGACTTGTTGTGCCACTCCTCTACCCCATTCAAGAGAAACAAATTACCTAAATCCTACATGACTCGGGTTTCTCCAAGGGCTTGCAAATTCTATTACTGACAACAAGCATTTCTCTTAAATGTTCTGCAGAAGACTACTACCCAGTCCCAGCAACACTGCACACAGCAGGACCACTCTTGGCCCTTGGCTGTTCTTCTCTTGAGATCTCAGTTCCAACTCACTCCCAGGACCAGCAGTCAGCCAAGAGACTGAGTCTCTACATGGCTCATAAAACATTGCTTTGTCCCCTTCCCCTCCCGAAGTGCCACTCTTGCCTCAGTCCAAAGCTACCCCAGCCTCCTCTCCTGGCTTTTAAAGCAAAGGGCTTATTCCTCTCCCAAACCACCCAGCATCTTTCTCCAGCTCCTTTGGAAGGTATCTGAATGTCAAATTGCTACGCTTTCAATACCTGGCTAAGCCAGGTCCAGGGAGCTGGAGGGTTTTCGGAGGGTGTATAATTAGCTGATCAGTATTATGTTACCCTGTTCATATCTGAATAACCATTTTAATACAGATGGCACACACTGGGATAATTTCTGGGGTCGCCTCGCAGTACATTACAGCATGAGTGTGGCAGAGGGAATCTTCTTTAGCCAAGGTACATTCTACCAGCTAATTTTACCTGCTGTTTTCAGGATGATTTGGGATAATTCCATATCATTTGCAAAATATTTTTAAAATCCCTGATATGTGATGCCAATTTCAGAATAAGGCACCATCAGAGTTATTAGTTGTCCTGATAATGAGCTTATGAAGAATGCAAAACATAACAAAGTTATGAAATGCTTAGCCCTCTTTTCATTTTGGGGTGTCTTAATATGGGGGGCCAAGGCTGTCTGGGACTTCCTTCTGACTGGTGTGTGACTTGTGCAGGGACTCTGTGAACAACTGTCTGTTTGTACAGTTCTGCGATCTTGAAACCAGCCCAATGCTGCTTGTATGTTCTGTAGCTACCACAGATAGGCATATTGGCACACTGGCTAGTGTGGACTTGAATGGAGTGTGCACATGTGTTCTCCCCGAAAGCACGCTGGAGGGGTTTGGAGACCAGGAGACCTAAATATCCTATACATCAAGCTGACTCAGCCCTGTGGTGTCCTCATGTGTGTGAGCCTGTCATCAGTGCAAAGACAGTCTGGAGACAGGCACCATAGGTGGTTGAGGGTACCACCCAAGGTTCAGTCTCAGAGTCTGGAGTTCTCCCTCCCTGCTTGGCACCCCCTTCTTGTCCAGCTCCTCTACTCCCTGCCAGTTGCTGGCTGGTGGTTGGCATTTGTTCTGCAAGCCCGGATCCCAGTGCTTATAGGCCGGAAATTTGTGTGGAGCTGGCTAGCAAGACCAGGCTCCTGGGAGGTGAGCTTTGTGGGAACTGGCAGGGAGGGTGGAGGAACCAGGACAAGCGGCTGCCCCTGGGGAAGGAGCAGCCTTTAGAAAGGGCAGTCTGTTTGGCGGGATGAATAGACACTGGTCATTTTAAAGGCTCTGGCTGCAGGCTGTGATTGTCTCTAGATCCCAAGGCTGGATGCTTGTAATCTTGGAGTCTTAATTACCACAAACACTTGGATTCATTTCCAGGACGCCTGCGGGAGAAGCCTGGCAGGGAATACCCAGCCCTGAACTGCAGACAGCCCTGTCTGTCTGTCTATCTCTCTGCCTCACAGGTCCCCTTTCCCTGACGGAAGGATTTTGGGCTGGCAGCAGGGAGAAAGGGCAGAGGCTGGACAAAGAGCACAGACTGGGTGTGGGACACCCCTGCAGGCAGGAGCCAGGAACTGGAGTCCAGCCCTGAAAACCCGGGTGCCTTGCTCACCTGTTGATGGAAGAGACGCTGGGCACTGTGTCATTGTCACAGATGCCCTCGGCCAGGAGCCGGTCTCGGATCTCCCAGGCGAACATAGTCGGGTTCTGTCGTTTGTATTCAGCAATCTTGTCCACCACTTTGGGCGTCGCCACTTTGGGCTTGGAGCCACCGATCACACCTGGCTTGATGCTGCCGGTCTCGTAGTACCTGCGCCGGGAAAGCCGGCGGGGTCAGCCAGAAGTGGACGGTGGCGGGTCAGCGGGCTGCGGGTTCCAGAGCTGCTGAGCCACTCTCCCGCCCGCCGAGGCAGCGGAGTGGAGGGAAAAGGCCCAGTGTGACTGAGCTGACTTCCTGAGGGTGCTTAGCTAGGACGAGGAGTGCCGCGGAGTAGGAGGACAAGGGGTACCATCTCTCCGGAGAGACGGCCACACCAGGGGCTGGGTGCGCACCAGCATGAATAGGCACCCGTGGGCGTGAAAGCCCAGCCTTTCATTTGGGAAGAGCAAAAGGAACAGCGCTGCAAGGTCTCCGGGAGGCCAGGGCTGAGGCACCACCTCGAGCCCTTCCCTACTGGGCACAGAGCATCTATGGGAACCAGGACCCTCCTTCTGCCTCCCAAATGCTGCTTTTTCTCCTCTCGGGGACCCATTTTCATCCCCACCCCATTCCTCTAATGTCCCGCACCCAACGTCTGCCTTAACTCCATTAAGAAAGTCATCCTTCCCTTTCTGAAGCCGGAAACCAGGGACCTTCTCACCAGGGACCAAGGGCAGGGCAGGCACTGGGTGACACTGCTCTACCCTCGCTCCTGGGTCTTCGGCCACCATCTGAATACTCTCTCCAAAAGGAGCACCTCTCCAGACCCCTTTGGGGATCTCCCTCTCCGGCTTGGCTGGCTGGACTTTTGGCTAAGTCCTCCGGCCGGAGGCCCAGGGCTGGCCGGGGAAGTAGGCAAGGCGTCTCACGGGACAGCTGCGAAGCCCTCACCTGCCCAGGATTTTGCTGACACAGCCGTGGCTGACCCGCAGCTGCCGGGAGATGTCACAGGGCCGCACACCCTGGTGGGCCAGCTCCACGATGCGCTGCCTCACCACGTCGGGTAGGGGCCGGCCGTTCACAAACACCCCCCCGAGCTGGTTCACACCCCCGTGCCCTGCTGGGGAGAGACAAGAAAAAAACACAACACCCCACACACAGCAGGGACCAGCCATTAGTCAGGGTCCGCGGCCCGGGACGGGCGAAGGAAGCAGGCAGGGCGGAAGGGCATGTTCCCGAACTTCAGAAGAAAGGTGGTGGACCCCCACGACCACGCGGAGGAGTGGGGACTGGAACCCGCCCGGCCCTAGAGACGCGGAAGCGCGGACGCTGGGCGGAAGACTGGGGGGCTGGGCAAGAGGGCGACTCAGGCCGTGCAACGCAAGGTAGAAAGCGAAGGGGGGACTGGACAGAAACCAGATGACAGAAAAGAGGGGAGAGGGGAGAAAATGCCAAAGGGGAATTCATGCCAGTGGAAAGGGCGTAAGAAAGACAGGAGAGGAAGGGCCAGGCAGAGGACTGGACTAGTGCGAAGCAGCATCCCGCCTGCGCCGCAGGCAACCAGGGAGCTGTCCGCGCGTGCGAGGCTTGGAGGCGGACGATTTGGGGGCGTCGGGGCTCCGCTGACTGTTCATCCGAGCTCCAAGCACAGACAGGGGATAAGTGCCTGACACACACACACACACCTTTGCTCTCTGCCTCTTCCCTAAAAAGTATTAAATTGTAATCGGAATTTTTCTACCTCTTTTCCTGTGTTGTTTGTTTTTGGTGGGAATTTTTTCTAATGTTATTTATCTGTAGGGGGACCGTATCTCTCTTTCACCTCCTTAGTATCTAAAGTGGAGCAAGGAAGGCGGATGAGGCAGGCACCCGGGGTCTGCTGCGCTCAGTGACAGGGAGGCGGCCGACAGCGGCTCCAGGCAGCAGGCAGAGAATGCCGGCTGCTTGGGCTCGCTTGCCTGCCGTACCGCGCAGAGCTTGGTTGGGGCCCACCGTCTCGCCCAGGTAGCACGGCATAGGCCGCGCCGGCGGGTTAATAACTATCGGGGAGCCCTGTATAGCCGGCCCAAACCCGACTCGCGTCCCTTTGACCCCTCAGACCTCGGCAGCCTCCCAGGAAACCGAGCGGCTCGGGCTTTGCTCTCCGGGCAAAGAGAAGGGCACGGGGTTTCCAACCGGGTTCCAGCGCGGGCTCCCGATCTCGTAGCCGAGGTGGCCACTGGGTACTAGGCCTGAGGGTGCTTCCTCGTGCCCCATTCTCCCTGGCCTACAGCAGTCTAGAAATCCTGCACCCAGAGCGATCAACCCGCAGCTGCAGTTACTGAGCAATCCAAGCGCAAAGACTTCTAGAGGCCGAGTCGGGTCGGCCCAGGCTGGCAACCTGCAGCCCCTGCTCCGCTAGCCTCACGCGTTTCGGAGAAAGCGGGGACATCTGTGCCCCCCTCATTTCCCTCCCGTCCCTTTCTCAGGTGGGGGGTACCTAGAGCAAGCTCGGGTGAAACCCTGGGGAAAGGCCTCTGATCGGGCTGCTGGGAGAGACTGGCACCTCTTCTTTTACCCCCGTGCCCACCCCGTTAATCTCCCTATCTCTAGCCCCACTCCTCACGCCTCCCCTCCCTCCAAACCCCGACCATCAATAATTTAGGCCCCGGGAGAACTCGCGTTACCGGTATGAAAAGGCGGCAGCTGCGGGCAGATTAAAGATGAATAATTCAGCCTCCCCGGGCTCAGGGCCCGGCCCCTCAGCCCCAATCTAAGGGGTGGGGATGGGAAGGGGACACGGGAGTCCAGGGCTGGGGGACTGCCGCGAGCCGGCGCTGAGTCGGGCCTGGAATGCGCCACTGCCGCCGGCACCGACTCTGGCCGCGGTGTCTCACCAGCCAGTCCACCGGCCGGCGGGCCCGCGCTGCGGCTCTCTCCCTCCGACCACCTTCTGCTTGGCCGGTGCAGAAACCCTTGGGTTTCAAAGTGGCTCCCCGCGGGCAGCCAGGACTCGGCGGATCCCCGGCGGAATCCGCAAAAAAGGAGAACGAGAGCTGTGGCAGCGGGCCGAGAGGAAGGCCGGCTGGGCGAAGACTGCGTGTGGACCCGGTTCCACTCCTCCCGAAAAGGACCGAGGCTTTCCGGCCGGCTCTCCGAGACCCGCAGCGGCCTGATGCCCTCGGCGCGGCTTTCCTGCGCTTGGAAATTACTTAGGAAAATATATTTTATCCCAGGAGTATTTTTAAACGGCCCCCGCCCCCCCAACGCTAAATATATGCTTAGCGAAAGACACAGCTCTCCCTCCTTGGCTCTCTTGTCCTAAACACAGGTCCAAGCCAGGTCTAAAGTTTCCTTGTGAAAAGTTACAAATTATCCTTAATTATTAATCTGCAGATAGGGAGGAGTTTCTATTTAGAATTTTATCTTTCAAAAAAAAAAAGCCTGCAAAAAAAAAAAATCTCAGAATAGTTTTTCAAGATAAAGACATGGTATAAATTAAATTCAAATTTTATTAAAATAATTCTCTCTTTTCTTTATTTTTTTCTCCCCTTCTCCCTTTTCTTCTGTAACATCATTTCAACTTTCTTTCTTTAATTTCCTTTCCCGTGTTTGGATTTCTCTTTTTCTTTCTCCTCAGCTTTGGCATTTGCTTTCCTTTTGTTCTTTCCCCCTCATTTTTTGCTCTTTGCTGACCCCCTGGCCAGGTTGCTGGCTGCACGATCCTCAACGGGGAGTCGGAAGTCTAGGCAAGGAGCCTCCAGAGCTGAGAGCAGAGCTGCACTTTGCCGGGGGCCCACCTGGAAGGCTGCGCTGCTGGCTCTTTCCCTGACTTCGATTTCCTTTTGGAACCCCTCTTTGTTTTTAGAGCATCCCCCAAGCAGAGGCAGGGAAAGATAACCATTCTATCTTGACAACCTGGGATTCCCAATGTGAAGGGAAGGAGAAGGCAAGGGAAGAGGGGTGGGAAAGAAAGGAAAAGGAAGAAAATATTTCCAACCAGCCCACAAGAAGCCTCCGCTGGGCTGGAAGGGCCTGGAGATGCTGAGAGATGAGGGTCAGAAGGGGGCACCCCACCCCCACACTCTTCTGCCCAATTGTCCTGACACTGAGGCTGAACACTATTGGAGTCTCCTGGACCCCACGACTCTTAAGTTCGAGAAAGGTAAAGATGTGGGGAGACAGGAGAGGGAGGCAAACAGAGGAAGAGAGGAAGAGATAAAAGAGAAAACAACAAAACAACACCTTGAAAACTGCCTGCTAATTTGTCCTCCAGCCCAGGGGAAGAGGCTGACTGGGGAAAGGGTGGCTGGAACCAGGGCTCCGAAGCCCTGAAACCATGACCTAAGAAGGAGCGGATGGAAAGAGCAAAGACAGGTGATAGGCACCAGGGAAGGTAGGAAGGCAGGCAGAGAGGTAAGTATGGGTGACAGAAGGCAGGAGAGAAGCTGGAGGCATTAGAAACACCGGGCGAGGGAAAGAGAAAGAACGAAAGGAGGGACTAGGAGAAGCCAGGGAGGCCTCCAAGATGGGACCTGAGCGCGAGGG